CCGTCCCATCAACCCGGCCGGCACGTCCTGCTCGACTTTCGTGCGCTGACACGTGCCGCACCGTCGCACGTAGTTCGCAATATCCCGAAACATTCGCGGCCAATGGTACCGCGTCGCGACGCGCTGATACGTCTTGTCGGCGCCGAGATGGCCCGCATGCGGAGGATCGTGATTCTCGCGGATGGCCTCGCGGCGCGACTCTGGTGGCAACACGAGTTTCCATTCGTCTCGATCTCCGATTACTTCCGACATTGCGCGCGGCTTGCGGAAGTACAGACCGTCGTCTCGCACGCGCCAATCCGGATGTCTCTCCGGGTGTCTCGTTATAGCCTCCACGCGACTATTGTACCACTCATCCGCGGTCACTACGGCAGCGCAAAACTCTTCGTCGGATTCATACATGCGCGACAACGCGTCCGGCACGTGATGCATCGCCCCCTTCCGATGTTCGATTTCGTACTCGTATTCGAGCAGCTCGAGAGCCCATCGCGCTAGCCTGCCTGTCGGATTTTTCAGATTATGCAGCCACCGTAGGCTGCTGTGGTCGGTGATAACCCTAAACGCGTACCCCTCTAGATACGGGCGAAATTTCTTAATTGCCCATACGACCGCGAGGCACTCCTGTTCGGTCGTGGAGTACTTTTTCTCGGCATCCGACAGCGCACGGCTCGCGAACGCGATCACGTGCTCAGATCCTCCGACAGTCTGCGTTAATACTGCCCCCAAACCAACCGAGCTCGCGTCCGTCTGTAAAACGAACGGAAGACCGAAGTCCGGACATGATAGCGTAGGGGGAGTCGTTAGACAAAGCTTAATTGAGTCAAAAGCCTGCTTTTGCTCATCCCCCCATTCCCAAGAGTGGCCCTTCTTTAAAAGACGTGTCATCGGTTCTAATCGCGTGGCGCATTGCGGTATAAAGCGCCTATACCACGAGGCCATCCCTATAAAGCGGCGTAGTTGTTTAATGTTTTTCGGCGGCGGATAATTAAAAATCGCGATCGTTTTATCCGGATCGACAGTAAGGCCCTCTTTCTGTACGAGGAAACCGAGATACTTTACTTGCGATCGACAAAACTTGCTTTTATCCGGGTTGATAGTTAGCCCCGCTTCCCGAATTCGTTCGAATACTCTTTTAAGCCACGTGAGATGCTCGTCAAAAGTTTGTGTCACGACAACGATGTCGTCAAGATACGCGAATGCATGTGGCTCCATTTCGGGTCCTATCAACCGATCTAGCAATCTCTGAAACGTTGCGGGGGTTCCCGTCAGACCGTACGGCATCCTCGTGAAGTGGTAGAGTCCCTTCCCCGGAACCGTGAATGCCGTATATTCTTTACTGCCCTTTTCCAACGGGATCTGGAAGTAGGCTTGACTCAAGTCGATAGTCGATATGTAACGCGCCGATCTCAATTTGTCTAGTATCGCGTTCATGTATGGTAATGGATACGCGTCTTTCTTTGATACGCTATTCACTTTTCGAAAATCTAGACAAAATCGATACGTTCCGTTAGGCTTCTTAATCATGACTATCGGCGTCGACCATTCGCTTTTCGATGGCTCTATTATTTCGGCCTTTAACATTTTATCGACCTCCGCGTAGATTGCTTCTTGTATC